CCCGGCTTCTCCTGGAAAAATTAGCTGAAACTAGTGAAACTTAATATTCTAGAACAAAATTATCTGGTTTTTTTCATCTTGAAAACAGTATATTGATGCTTTTCAGAGTAGTGGAATTGCGGCTGTGCGTGCCATATCCTTGCTATAGCGTTGAAATAAGCTGTGCATGCATATGGCCAAACTTAGGACATCACTTACTGCATGCAGGGAAGGAAACGGGGGGTTTCAATGTGCATTTTTTTATAAAGCAACATACTCGGCCACGTCTCCTTCCTGCAGTGCCAGTGCAGTGGTGACCCTACAGAACTCAGATGCTCAATTAGCAGCTCGGGTGTCGCGAGCAGCGCGGTGCTGTGCAGTGCTAACAAGCCCTGTCTGGAGCCTGCCAGCAGCCTCTTTAATCGCCTCCCCGCTTGCCGGGCCAGGGTGGGCGAGCACTTGGAGCCACAGGCTCCCGCACAACGTCTGCCTTTTACCTTTCTCTTGCCCACCTGGCCCAGACAGGCAAAACGTTGTGCTGAGCCGCAGACACCTGGCAGCCAGGGACTTCGTTGGGCTGGAACTGCATAAAGGCAGCTGCCTCGGTTTGTGTGATAAAGCAGGGAGGAAGAAGGGCACACGGTGTCAGAAGCCTTAAAATAGAAGCCTATATAAATAGGGTGTGACATAGGATATTATATAGTAATGTGGTATCAAATTACAGAATCTATATATAGAAGATTAATCAGGGGTCGGGGCTAAGCAGACAGATATCAACACGGCCGGGAGCTCTGGCTTCATTTTCACCAGCAGCGAGGGAAGTTTGTGGTGCTGTGGTACCTGGTCCAGGTGATGCTGTTTATCACCCTGAACCGAGAGCTGCTCCCATACCTGCAGCAGGTCGGCAGAGGGAAGTGCTGGTTTCCCACCAGTGCGGGCGTGCTATCCCTATATTTTCTTGGGATTGTCCTATTTGGTTTGATTTCAGTTCTTTTTCCCAGACGTTCTGCGTGACAGTGATGTCAGATGCCAAAAGCTGACATTCTGCTGATGACAAAAAACCTCTTCTACTGGGAACCCTCTTCTTCAGCTGCTTACAAAGGACAAATAACGCAGCAGCCCTGTTTCTGTACACATATGGGAAGGCAGTGACAGTGTTTGGTAGAGGAAAGTCATGCAGTTACTCCTCTCTGAGCAGGAAGACAGGTTCCTGTTGGGTAGGAAGGTACTGGCCACCCTCAGAAACAAGAAAAACAAAGAATTTGCCCAGAGTCACACAGCAGGTCAGCAGCGGGAGCAGGGGGAAAGGTCTGGACACCCTCTTCCCTCCGACACTGCCGCCAGACCCACTGCCTCAGCACAAAATCCCGAGTACGTGTGAGAGAGGTGGGTGGGATTGAGTCCCCCTCCCAGGGAAGTTCAGCGACTGTGAAATTAGTAAATTATACAGGCCCACAGAACTTGGAAAAACAATATAATCCTGGGGGTACTGAAATAATTAATTTGCTAATCAACTACACCTTGCTTTTTTTAATTTGCAAATAGCACTCTGGTTTTTGTTTCCCCATTTCAGCCCCCCCCGCCTCCCCAAGAGCAGCGATATTCTGGGCAGCGGAGGGGCCCGGGGCAGGGCCGAGCACCCCGGGGGGCTGCCGGGGACCGGGGAGCCGCTGCCCCAGCGCCCCAGGGACCCCAGCGAGGGCCGGGCGATGCTTTCTGGGGGTCCCCGCTCTGCTCTGGATCCAGCCACCAACTTGCGAGGGACGAGCCGGAGCCGCAGGGCTCCTGCAGTTGTTTTGTGCTGCGTCTCCCGGTCTCGCTGCACCCTTGTTTGCTTTAAATCATTTCAAATGCGGAGGTTGTCAGACAAGACAATTAACATGGGGAAGGGGGAAAGTATTACCATCCATTATTTGCCATAACATGAATTTAAGCCAGGAAGTCAAATGATAAAATATGTGGTGAAAAGTGTTGGTGGTGGGAGTGCCTAAATGAGTAATAGCCTTGGGCTTCTGAGCCTTGAACTTAACGCGCTAAGTAAATCCCCGAGGTCAAAAAGTATGAAAATTGTTGCAGCTTGGGGAGATATATTTTAACTTTGCAAAAGGTCCTCGCAGAGCCGCTGGAGAGGCAGCCGCGGAGCAGCGGGGGCTGGC